GGCCAGTGGAGCAGTCAATAATTAATTCTGAATTTTTCCCATTTATCACAGTGGCAGGAGCCAGAATGTCTAGAATCTCAATTCTGAGGCTTTGAGCCCCTTGGCCACCTGGAGCTGGGCACAATGGTGACAGGAACTGGGGCAGGGGGCCCTCATTCAGTCTGAGAAGGGAGGGTGTTCCTGGCACCCCACTCCCCTGGGTTATTAAATGCTGTGTGGCCGGATGAGACCCCTTCCCAGCCCTCATTGTGCCCACAGGCTAGCAGAGAAAAATATACATTGAATGGATAATAATCTAAATAATGTTACAAAGGGAAAGAGCAGGATGGTGTGAGAATGTAAACCTGGAGACTTGTTTAGGGCCTTCCCAAGAAAGTGACCATGAACCCACAAAGCAGAGAATGAGAGATGAGGGGCCAGGAGAGGGTGCCCACACCCAGAAACAGCACAGGCAAACCCCCTGAGGCTAGAAAGCGTTTGTCCCATGAGGTCACTGCCAAGTCAGGAGCCCTCAGGGCTGGTCTAGAGCCCTCGCAGGCCAGCTGACAGCCTTCAGTGGCCAGCGGCCACGAGAGGAAGTGACAGGCAAGTTTTCCCGATGATCTAGGGGGTGGCGGTGATGCTGCTTCCTTCCCTGGTGAGTCAGAGGGCAGGCTGGGTGGTCAACTGTGTGATTTTTTTTTTTTTGTTGTGTTTTTTTCTTACTACTATTTTCCCCTTGGAGCATTCTTTCAAACCCATTTGGGCAAGGGGATGAGTCAGGATTTCTTTGGAGCACACAGCCAAGCGTGGCTGCTGGCCCGGCCACCCTCAACACCCGCCTCCTCTGGCAGGCGGGAAAAGCGAGGCCCAGCGAGGGACAAGGACCGCCCGAGGCCACTCAGAGGACTGTGAACCGTGCCCAGAGGAGGGCTGTCCGGGACCCCAAAAGAGAGAGAAGCCCTGCAGTGTCGGTCTCTTCTGCTGGCCCTCAAGCCCCGTGAGGGCCCATGGCTGGATGCCCTGGTCACCACACTGTCCCCAGTGCCCTGTAAATTTGTGGTGCTTAACCAACGGCTTCAAAATGGACAGTCCTAGCAGCTTTAGAAAACACCCAGAAGTCATGCTCAGGGCATCAGGGGAAAAGGGGGTCCTTTCTGATGGGGGATCTGAGAAACAGGTACAGGGACACAGAGAGAAACAGACAGAGATAAACAGAGACACGGACAGAATCAGAGACAGTGATGGAGACAGAGACCCAGATGCGGGCACTGGAGAGACACAGACAGAGTGATAAGCAGGAGTGGGGGGCGGGGAGGGATGGAGCCCCCGAGACAGGTGGAGAGAGAGAGAGAGAAAGGTGGCAGGGTCAGGACCACCACTGACCTGCAGGGGGGCCTTTGTGGGAATTACAAAAAGGCTCCCTTCCCAGGGCCCTCTCACCGCCTCAGCTGGGTGCTCTGCGCAGTGAACCACCCGACACAGTGACCCACCCGACACACGGTCTGGGGCAGCCAGGGCGGGGCCCCCAGAGGGCACCCCAGGAAGGCCCGCTGAACAGACAGGCAGAGAGTGCCAGGACCGGGCCTGGAGTTGCAGGGAGAGAGGGCGGGAGGAGGAGGGGGAGGGAGACAAGGAAGGAGGGAGGGAGGGACAGAGAGGCAGAGACAGAGGGGGACTGAAGCAGGAAGTCTGGGCACCTGCAGCTCTGGCGAAGTCACCGGCTCCTTCTCGGGGAACTGCCTGGGTTTACTTGCCATCCAGGAGAATTCTCCTTGACATTCTGGGTGCATAAACCAAATGGGCAGCCCAGGCAGGGGGTGGCCCCTCCCCGGGACGCCCTGGGCCCAGCGAGAGACTTGGCTGCCAAGTCTCACCCGAAACTCCTCACAGCCCAGACTTGCTGCTGGGGTGGAGCCGGGAGCCTGATGAGAGGCCCTGGCGTGGGGTGGGGGGGCAGGATTCCCCCAGTTTCACAGCCCACAGAGGGGAGGAAGCTGGCTTGGGGTCCCCCAGGATAGGATTCAAGGGAAAAGGTATTCCTGGCAGAGAGAATAGCTTATGCAAAGCCCTGAAGGGGAGCAAGAGGGAAAGAAGGGTGAGGGGAAGCGCTTAGTTATGGAGTTTGAACTCTACTCTGTTTTCAAATACTTAACCTTTTATTCAATCCACATTCAAAGATGGTGTCTCTATACCTAGTCCCAACCTGGGTGATCCCGGGGGCCCTAGAGGCAACTCCTCAGCCTAGGGGGATACACAGACCCCTCAGTACCAAGGGTCTGGGGTGGGCAAGAAAGACAGGTGGAGGCTGCAGGAGCCAGGTGTGGTCTGGGAGAGAGCGGTAGAGCCCCCATGGAGGTGGGATATCAGTGGTGGGGACTTAAGATTTTAGGAGTGTGCCAGGTGAAGAAGACGGAGGAGGGCATTCTGTGTAGAGAGCATGCTTATGCAAAGGTCTGGACGTTTGTAATAACCGGACAAGTGCTGGCATGGAGCCGGAGTGCACGGTGATGCAGCTGGCCCCAAGTAGGCAGGCCGGTTACTCAAAGAGAGATGGGGGCAACAGGAGCCCAGAGGGAAATGGAAGCTCTTCATAGAGGATCAGGTGTGTCTTCGTGAAGCGGCATTGGAGCTGGGGTTTTGAAGCATGAATAGAAGCATTCCAAACACCGTAGGGCTTGTAAAGGGAGAAGAAGGGCTGAGGCCAGAATTCAAGAAATATCCTGATGGAGTGGAAGGAGAAAGAAGGACTGGAAGAGTAGGGCAAGTCAACATGAGATTTTTCCAGATCCAAGCTCAGCGGCCTGCCGTTGAAGGCCGAGAAACCCCAGAGCCGTTCCCTTGGTCCCACCGGGCCCTGTTAGGCCCGCTCCAGCCACTGTCATGTCTCCTCGGGTCACAGGTACCATCAAGTTTAGCCCAGGACACTTTCTACAATGTGACTCAGGAACCTCGGGTCAGGCTTATAACTCCGTCTCCTCATCTGAAAAATGGTGACACCAAAACCCACTTTTGCTGTTTATGTTCAATCTCAGGACCGGAGGCCTTCAGCAAATAATGTGAAGGAAGAGAAAACAAGGCAGAAAGGGAGAAAAGGAAGGAAGGAGAGGGAGGGGAAGAAGGGGAGGAAAGGAAGAAAGGGAGGGGAGGAAAGGAAAAAAGGGAAGGAAAGGGAGAAGAAGGGAGGAAGACAGAAGGGAAAGGCTTTGTATTCTGCTTCCAGGCCAACGCCAAGAGACAGGTCCAACATTATCATTTCAGAAGAAGCCAGAGCTGTCGAGGCTTAAGAAATGGATGGAGATTTGCATGTAATTTGCATTAAATTTGCATACTGTTTGTTAAATGTGGAAACTCCCTGAAAATGCTTTCCTCCACCCCCATTCTCAATTAAGAAGCAGGGCACCATCACTCATCCTCTACCAACAACCCCCCTGCTTGGGCTGGGGACGTTTCGGTTCAAGGGCTGCTGGAGTAGCAGCCTGGAGGGAGGTGACCTTGGACACCCCATCTGTAAAATGGGCTGTAATTATGGCCACCACTGCTGCTAAGAAGCATGCTTGGCAGTTTAAAGTAAAGTGTGGCCCCACAAAAATATGGTGTAGTTGGGGCTGGGGAGCAAACCTGAGGTGATTATTAAGGGCCCCACTTTTCTGCTGGACTCTGGAAGGATGGGCCCCAAAGTGTACATGTGTGTGTGACCAGTGACTGACCCCGAGTCTGGCAGGAGTAGGGGTCTAGGCTACCTCCCCTGCTGTGGGCCTCCCAGGTGTTTGGAGACCACCTCAGGCCTCAGTTTACATACCTTCTCTCTGTCTCTTTCCCCACCACTCCCCCTCCCTGGCTGGCTGAGCGCACTATCCCCACGGCCAGGATTTTTTAACTACCTGTCTCTTCTCTGGGCCTTCTGGCCAACAGGACTCTTAATTAAAACATTTTTTCTTCCCAGGCTCCCGCGCCTCTTCCCTGCACCACACCAGCACCTGGAGAGTGAACACGGTCCTCCCTGCCTTGCGCAGTGTCCCCTCCCGCCAGCCTCCCTGGGTCTGCACAAAGGACCGGAGGCCACGAGGCCATGTGGCTGCAGGTGAGAGATCCAACAGAGGCTCAGCTTAGTGGCGGGGTGGGGGGGAGGAGGGGGGGTCTTGTTCCCAGAATTCCTACAACACACTGCCTGGAATGCCCCCAAGGTTACCATCATGACGCACAGGCTCAGGGACTGAAAAGCAGGGTGAGTGGCCACAGCCATCATGGACTGACCCGAGTAACCAATGGTATGGAGTCTGGAAGCGACAGGCTTTTCTGTGGCATTTGGGACCAGGAAAAATGTGCTTTATTGTTACAATAAAAATAAGAGCGGGGTAGGACAGAAAAGATTACCACCCATGCCTCAGCACCCCACCAGGCACAGGGGACCCCAGATTCCTGCTCCTCAACCAGAACCCTCCAGACTCAACCGGGAGACCCTGTGCAGAGGACAGGGTGGCAAGGCATCATGAGGAGGGCACCTCCAAGGGTGTGGGCACAGGTTGCAATGTGGAGAGGTATTTGGGGATAAGGGTGGAACACAGGGTGACGCTGAAAAACTGGGAGAGGGCTGAGGTCCCCCAGTCTTCACCTTTAGTCATTTGAGATTTCCTGGTTGGACCCCACAGCCAAGGCTGTTCACAGTAGAAGGGGTTTGTCGGGGCCCAAGAGAGGACAAGGTGTTCACTGGCTGGCAGAAGACTTCCTGGAGGAGGCTGGAATCTCAGGTGGGTTGGAGCCGCAGAGAGGAGTGTGAAAGGTGCTTTAGGCAGGGGGCACAGCTTGGGCAAAGGTGTGGCCAAGAGAATGTATGAGGTAGGAGAGGTGCTGCCCTGAGCTCCTCACTGCTCTGTGCTCCTCCTCATAGGGTATCCCCTGGCTGTGCGTGGGAGCCTCCCAAGGTGGCACAGTGGCTCCCGTTGCAGGCTGGGCACTGGAAGTTCCAAAAGGGAAGCTGTGGCCTCAGGGTCACACAGCACAGCCTGACTGGCTGGCGCGACAATGTCCAAGTTCAGTGTCAGGGAGCGGGGCTCCGTCAGGAGGGTCTGAGGCAGTGGGCATCAGCTGGTCAGGCCAGTGCTCCGCTGTCCACCCAGAACCTGGAACAGCAGGAGGGGGTACGACAATCTCAGTTCAGGCCTTTGGGAGAGTGAAACACCAGCCGTCTGGCCGGGTTTCCTTCTTCCCTTTTCCCTAATGTCCCCTCCCGAAGTGGACAGCAAACCTGCAGCCTTCTGCTCCTTCCCCACGGGCCTGGGGCCCGCCCAGGGACGTAAGGGTGGCCCTTCAGCCTCAGGCAGCCAGCCATTCTGGAGGGGGCGTGGCTATTTGGAACCACCTGGTCGGAGTCACAGGAATTCAGGCAAAGAGTACAATCGTAAGGAGAGGGTAACAGAGTCCAGAGAGGCCGAGTGATTCACCGAAGGTCACACAGCAAGTTGGAGCAACATCGCTCATGTTATTTAGGAGCAACACATGTTAGTCTAAAGATAAGTGAGAAGACAGGGGTAGTGTCCTTGCCCAAGGGGTGAAAAGCACAGGGGATTGGAGTGTAGGGGGTGACACTCAACAAATATGAGTCCCTTCTCCTCCCTGGGCCTTATTTTTCCCCATCTGCGATGACCACAATATGGAAGGTCCCTGGGATGACTTACCTCCCAAAGGTTTCCCCACCCCAGCCTGCTCCTTTAGCCAGCATCCTTGGTCCCCTCAGTCACGGCGCCACCTCCTCCAACCCCGACTACCTGAAGGAGGGGGACAGAATAACACAAATTTCAGACCAAACACAGCCCTTGCTTCAGCACTCAAAGCCTCTCCTGTCTGTCTGCACAGCGTCCAGCTGATGCATCTCCCCACATCTGCCAGGTCTTACCTCCAGGTTCGAGACCTTTCCCTGCATTTCCACGCACCACTAGGGCTCCTGGAAAATGTTCTGAGCAGCCCCCTTCTCACCTCCACACAATACATTCCATAAATATTTACTGAACACCTGCTATGTTCCAGGTACTGAACTGGGAACACAGCAGTGAATAGGATGAGCAACAACGCCCTCGTAAAGCTTACAGTCTGGTGGGAAAAATGGGGTGAGAAGTTGGAAAGATAGAGAAGTCAGGGACTGGTAAGTGTCAGGGAGAAAGATAAAAACAGGGGTGGGGTGGGATGTGATCATCTCCGGACGATCAGGGAGGATTGCACAGAGGTGGCATCTGAACAAAGGCCTGAAAGAGCTGAGGGAGACAGCAAGGAATGTGGAAAACATTCCAACCTGACATTAATCATGTGTTTATTTGGTTTCATGTCTCTCTCCCCCACCGAACTGACTATGGGCTCCAGGAGGTCAGTCTTGGCCTGGGTCCCCACTGGGTTCCAGTACCCGGCACATGCCCTGGCACACAGTAGGCATGCAATAAATGCTTATTGCATATTGAACAATAATTATGGTGTGTGGACGGACATCTGTGGGTTGTTCCTTTGCCAGACTTTGTAGGAGAAGGTGCGCTGCCAAGAACACCCTCTCCCAGCCCCAAGCCCCTGTGGGTCACCATCCCCCACTGGCTCCCCTGCCCCTGATACCTTCCCTCCTGAGAGCCTGGGAGGCAGGCCCTGCTCCCCTGCCCTGCCCCCGCCCCCGGGCCCACCTTGCCTCTCCAGGAACAGTATCTGAGGCTCCTACTCTCAAAACACCACCCCAGACTTGGCAGACCAAGCCTCTGTGGCCTGGCAAGAATGACCATCATAAACTCCAGGGTTACACATGTGGCTCCAGTGTCCCCTGCCCAATACCTCCAAGGTAGCACCTGGAGGTCTGGAATCAGCCCCGACCTATCCCTGCCCCCACCCCCTACTGCCCATAGGGCCAAGCCTCGGTCTCCCCGACTTCCCAGCGCTGCCCCAGGCCCTGGTGTGTGCTCTTCCCATGGCCCAGCTGCTCTGCTCTACAGACCCCTCGTGGGTCACCTTGGCCAGGATTCCAGATGGCCAGGTCAGAGTGTAGGCAGCAAGTGTCAGGAGGGGAATATGGAATGAGCAGACGTCCTGGGGGAGATGGATGAAGAGAGAAGGGCCAGAGAGTCCGCAAGACAGAGACACAGAGCAAAATAGAGACAGAAATGTGCACGGAGAGGTGCAGAGAGAGACACAGAGAGAAAACAGCAGAGACAGAAATGGACAGAGCCAGAGAGAGACAAAAAGAGTGATAGGAAATGAAATAAATAGGACAGCACCACTGAGAGAGCGGGAGAGGTGAGACAAAGAGATCTTGAGAAATACAGGGGAGACCAGAGAGAAGCGCACAGGAGAGAAAAGAAGGAAGCAGGCAGGGGGCATCCAGCCACCTTCCCGGTCTCTCTCAGCGCCTGCCTCCTTCCATCCCTCCTTCTCCGCCAGTACACACAACGGCCCGGGCGGAGGCGGAGGCGTTCCAGGGGGCGAGAGGGACTCCTCGTCCAGCCAGCCCTTCTTGTGCCCTGCCATCTGCCCCCCTAGCCCCGACTCGCTCCCACCCACCGCCCCAGCAGGCCGTCCTGTTCCCCGCCATCCTCTCCTCGCCCATACCTACTCTCTACCCGGGACCGCAGCCAGGCCCTCCTACGCCCTGCCAGCCCATTCTCCCAGGACCCTGTCCCTGTCCCCGTCCCTGGCCACCTGGGGTCACTGACGAGCAGCAGCACAGAGCCGTCCTGTAGGTGCACGTCGCGCACCGTCTGGTGGTCGTCCAGCCGCCGCGCGTTGTAGTAGAAGGTGCGCTTCCAGGAGCTCACGCCCTGGCACACCAGCTGGGCGCGCAGGTCGCTGAGCGTGTCGCGCGGCCGCACGGTGAGCGGCAGCAACAGCGCTTCGTCCGCCAGATGCACCTTGATGTGGTAGCGCTTCCAGCGCGACAGGCCCCGCCGCAGCCCCTCCATGGCGCCCGACGGGTGCTCCCCACCCGGCCTGGCCACTCGTGCCCTGAGCACCCGCCCGACAGGCCTAGCCGCCCGCCTCCGCTGCACCGGCCCGCCCTGCCACGCCCAGTGTGCTTGAGGGAGGCCCAGTGGGGGCGGGGCACGCAGGGAAGGCGGACCGAGGGCCCCTTGCCCCGACCCGCAGACACCCCTCCGCTTCTGCACAGATGTGAAAAGTGCCTACTGGAAGCGCCATAGATAGCTGCGAACAAAACCAACGAAAAGGAGACACATCATAAAGATACTTAAATACCACTGCAACCTAGCAGGGGAAGGGCTAGGGAGAGAAAAAGGAGGAAGGAGAGATTGGTGGTTCTCTTGGACAGAGATCAAGGTCAAGAGAGATCTCTCAGAAGGTAGCATTTGAACTGAGTTCTGAAAGTGAGAAGCAGTGAGACCACCATGCAAAGGGTCATGGATCAAGGGCACCGCACAGTGAGGCGGGAACAGCCAGTGCAAAGGCCCTGGGACAGCACCATGTTTGGTGGTTGGAGGAACAGCTGGGAGGCCCTGGTGGCCAGAGCGGAGTGAGCAAGGGAGAGAGGGAAAGGTGGCGAGGTCAGGAAAGTGATGAGGGACAGCCCATACAGGGCCATGTGGGCCTCAGGGAGCACTTGAGCGTTTTATCCACAGGGAGGTGGGAACCTTGGAGGGCTGTGGGCAGAGGGAGGTTAAGTAACAGGTTTATATTCATTATGCATTCATTTATTCCCGTATTTCCTTCAAGACACATTCAACAAGCACCCACTCTGTGTTGCCTTGGCTGGGCTGGGCCAGGCTGGGCACCAGATAAATCACAACCTCGGGCCCTGACATCAAGGGTCTCCCAGTTGAGGGTGGGACACACAAAGTTGGACACAGACACTCCCAGCCTATGGGATCAGGGCTTGAGGAGGAGTAGAGGCCCTAGGCTGTAAAAGGGCAGTATGCGGAAATGGCTTCCCAGTGGGTAGGCACTGGAGCTAGGGCTTTGGCAGATGAATAGGAGTTCATCACTTCCACCAAGGAGACACATGCCTACAGCCACCAACTGTACAGTTCAGTGGGTGCCTAGTGGGGAAAAGCAGAAGTCAAGGCTTGTGGTCAGTGGCAGCCATGGCAGTCTTGTGAGCAGGGGTTCACCCACTCCTGATTCCATGCCGTCCCCACGCTTGCAAACCCTTTCTCAGTCCCCTGTAGCCTCTCTGGTCACACTTACGCAAGCGCCTTATTCCTGAAAGCCTTTCCTGATTGCTGCCTGCCCCTGCCCCTGCGCCTGCCCCTGCCCCTGCCCCTGCCCCGTCATAGCCGCCAGGACAGGACTGACCAGTTCTGGGTATCTAGGATGGTGGCTTGACCTCGATGATTCAGCCTATACTGAGAAGCCAGTTAAAATGGAAGCCCACAACAGGGCAGTGGATAGAGTGTGGGCTCTAACCCTGACCTTGACCCTTGGAAATTTCATAGGAAGAAATTTAACAGCCCTGGGCCTCCATGTTCCCATATATCCAGTGGGGTTGTTCTGAGGATGAAATGACTGAGGGTAGAGCACGGAGAGAGGTTCCTGAAGCACAATCATCTACTTACTGACTAGGCTGAGAGGATATTCAGAAAGAAGTGCAATTTGACTCTCAAAGGAAGCAAATAAAAACAAATTTAGCAAGTAGGAAAAGCACCTGCTAAGTGACAAATCGTCTTCTAGGTACTTGATTTAAAAAATAGAAAACGTCTTTAATTCTCATGTGACGCTATTATTTCCCATTTTACAGATGAGTAAACTGAGGCATAGAGAGGATAAATTACTTCTCTCACAATTCACAATGGAAAATGGCAGAGCCAGGATCTGAACCTAGGCCACCTGGCTTCAGGGCTCATGCTATTGTCCGCTGGCTATGCAGCTGCTGCTGCTTCTTCTTCTTCTTCTTCTTTTTTTTTTTTTAAGATTTTTTATTTATTTACTTTCAGATAGAGGGGAAGGGAGGGATAAAGAGAGGGAGAGAGCATCAGTGTGTGGTTGTCTCTCGTCTGCCCCCTACCAGGGACCTGGCCTGCAACCTGAGCATGTGCCCTGACAGAATCGAACTGGCGACCCTTTGGTTCACAGGCCAGGCATTCAACCCACTGAGCCATACTGGCCAGGGCTGCTGACTATGCAGCTTCTTATAAAATCAGATTTCAGATGGAGATCTTGAAGGTGGCTAAAAGCAAATTACAGATGGATTTCCCTTCCCAGAATAAAAGGGAGAGAAACTACAAAAACTACTATAAGAAAACATGGGAGTTAAAAATAATAATCCTAGTTTCTTAAAGCATGACATTAAACCTTGAAGCCTCTAATTAAAAGATTAATAATTGACTACATTAAAATATAAAATTCTTGCACATACACACAACACCTAAACAGTCAATAAACAAAGTCAGGGAAACTTTTTCAAGACTGATAGACAAAAGGCTGATTCCCTTTATATGTAAAAATCTTCCAAAAATCAATGAGGACCAACAGGCCAATGGAAAAAGAGGCAAAAGACAAAATACACATATCTTCTAAACACATGAGAGGAAGCTCCTTTCCACTCATGGTAAGCTAGATATAAAATAAAGCTACCATGAAACACTTCTTTAAAACTAAATCTGTCAGGTTGCTGAAGATGAAAAAGTTTGATAATTCACTATGTTGCTGGGGTTTGGGGAAAACAGCCATCTCACGCCTTGCGGGCGGGAGTGTGAAATGGCATAATCTGAAAATAGCTATTGAAATGATAAACTAGCTCTGTCCCTTGGGACTCTCTCTGTGTGCCCAAGGACAGATTATAGCACAACGCACGTTCTGAGCAATTCACGTGTGACCTAGCGCGAACCAGGAGGCTCGCTGATTGAGCAAAGGAGGAAAGCTGAGGCCCGCAGAGGGAAGTGGTAGAATGAGGGTGTGCACTCTCCGCAGGGAAAGTGAGAAGGCGAGTGGGCTGGCTCTGCCTGCACCTCCAGGTCACCACGGCTCCAGCCTTTCTCAGGCTAAGCTCCAGGCTTCACGTGGCACACCTGTTGGTGTCTAGAACAGATCAGAGCAAGGCCCAGGGACACTTGGCTTTGACATATGGAGGCTGAGCCGGCCACACTGAGCCCTGTGAGTGTTGGGTGCCAGTTCCAATTAATTCTGACTTTCTCATTAAGCTGTTAGGAAAAGCCAGGTGGCTGTGGGCAGCAGGCTCTCCGCCTGGGCTGCTGGATCGGAGAAATCATGGTTTCCGCCTGGAGACACTATTATCTGTCATGGGCAATTATGGAAGAGCCAGGAGTACAGGGACAAGCTGGAGAATCCCTGAGTTCTGGAACCTAGGAGGCTCAGAACTGTGGGGTCCCCAAAACTGCAGACTCCCAGCACCTTGGAAGGACTGGCATTCTAGACCCTCAGAACATTCACCTCTTCTCATGAACATTCTAGAATCGAGGGTTCACTAGTAGGAGGGTCAGGGTTCCGAGTGGCAATCCAAACACATCACTCCTGGCTGTTTTAGGGGGCAAAGGAATGTTGGGGAAGGCTCTGAGGGAGTTCAGACAATCAGTGGGAAGTGAGGAGAAGAGGTTTTAAAAATGGGCCAGAGAACATGGGTCTTCTGAGGCAGAAGGGATACTACAGGCAGACGGGAAGGGAGGGTAGGTGCTCTGCCAATTTGCCCCTACACGTGGCATACCCACTGAATTTGGCCAAATTCTGGAATCACAGATGCTTAGCATTTTGTGACACAAAAGAGACTTATTAGATGTTTCCTTCGGCCAGGGGTCTCTCAAACTGCAAGCCCAGAGGCCCACGCAATTTTTTTTTTTTTAAGAACTGGCAAACTCTTCTATGAGTTTACATGTAAGAAGGTGGAGCTCCATTGGGCTCCTGGTCCAAGCAGCAACTGCGGGCCCTCTGTGGATGGTACGTGATTTCCCGACTGCCCCTACCAAGTGCAAAGCCCTCCCTGAGCCCTGAAGGGTTTGCCCACCCTGGACTAGGAACAGCACTAGCTTTGTATTCTCATTTTGATCAAGAAAGTGTGTCCCAGGGCAGTTGTTTGCCGAGGTCCTCCCCAGGGAGAGGCTGAAAAGGTTTTGGAAATAGCCCATCACATGACGTTCCTCCACGTTTTACAATCAGTTACCCCACTGGGTCCCTGTCACCAACCCTATGAGGCCTGTGCTTTTGTTCTCCCATTTCTCAGAAGAGAAAACTGAAGTGTCCCCAAAGCCACACAGGAAGGTGGAGCACAGCCCCTGGAACATGGCAGGAATGAGTTAGCAGGAGTGCTCAGGTACCTCTACCTAGTTTGGTACCAAAAGGAGAACATGGTGTGGAGAGGGCGGCTTTGAGAAAGGCATGGGGAAGAGTTTGAATTTTCTTCTAAGGGCAATGGGGAGAGCTTGAAACAAGGGAGTGGCATGAACTAAATTATATGTTAGAAAGGATCCTGACAGTGTGGGATCTATTTTAGAAGATGGATACAGTAATTCTTAGCTAAGAAAGGCCTTATCGTGGGTCCCAGTGCTCTCTTCATAGCTACTACTTCTTGGGTCTATGTGTCTCTCTCCAGGGAAATTTCATAAGGAATTTATTGCTAGGATACCTGGCAAATGAGGGTTCATGGTGGTCCCTCTTGGTAAATTATGTTATTCCACCCTAGCTCTATTAGAAGCAAAGGCTATTTGCTAGCAACATGTTCAAAAGTGGCATCCTCATATATAAAGAGTTGTGAGAAATAAATAAGAACAGAGAAACATGCTAAGATGGATGCCATTTTGAACACTCAAAAGAGATAGGTAGGAAATCATAAAATAAAGACTCACATGAGAAAGTGGTTAGCCACCCTAGGATTCTCCCCACTCTAATATTCAACAAAGAGATCTGATAATATTGATATTAAATTCTGTGAGGGTGCAAGGCAATGGCACTCACATCTGTTGCTGGAATAAGTACCATCCTTCTGGAAGGTAGAATGACA